ACTCCCCCCACCACTGAGACCTTCTGCACCTTACTGCCACAGCTTGCTTTGAGAGCGGCGTGACAGCCACGTGCATCTCCCAAGGGAGAGGTGAAGTGTGGGAATGAGGAGGGGGAGATGCTGCAGCCATGCCCTGGGGCGCACTCCATCCCCACCCACCCGCACATACCCCCTCTGACCTTTCTAAGTACCCCTAGGGGTACACGTACCCCCGGTTGACACCCCCTGTGTTAATGGAACACCAACTGGGTAGCATAGATCAGAGATAAACCTGCCCAGGAGTGGCATAACTTTAAGCTGCCTAAAGGGTGTTTAAAACGAGTTTCAGGTGTTAATGTGTGGACTATCCACAGGTTAAGAGCCCCAGGAGCTGCCTGAAATTAGTACTTTAAAAGGCCCTAAGAATTCAAGACCTGAAAGAGGGAGATATGAGATGAGATACGAGGAGCTTAAATGACATGCCCATGCTTACATTAAACAAGTAGGGGTTGAGAGGAAGGAACTAGGCATCATTCACATACCATGGGTTGTGAGAGGTGGTGTTACCAGAATTAGAAATGTCCTCATTGTCCAGACCTCATGCCACTTTTGTTTAGTTCCATATCCTATACTGGTTGTGTTTTGTCTGCTGTACCTGTAAATGTCTCAGATGATGGCTCTGCCACAACTTTTCTTGGAGGACTCTTCAAGAATGTGACAGTCCTCACGCTCAGGAAAAAAAAGCTACATTTGGGGTTGTCACTAATTATACCGCCAACTGGAAAGAAATCAGTAGAACAGCTTGGTGGAATCATGCTGTAGCTTTCCTTTTGGAACTTTCCTCATTTCATTGCATTCAGAATGTTTTTTAAACCTATCTACAAATGGAAAAAGGAGATTTACCAGGAACCAGGACATCTGCTCAAAGGTATTACCTTTTTTAACATTAATTAACCTTAATTAAGCTGCTCTGGACTTACACTGACTTTTTTTCCTTATCTTCAAGACTGTTCACCTGCTATAAAATTATATGCTTGGTATTTTGATGAACAAATCCTAAACAACACATGAGGCTAACGGACTTGGAAAAAAAAATCAGTCACCACTGCTGTATTCTTGCCCCAAACTCGTTGTTCAGATAGCAAACTGGGGGCAAGTTATAGATTCCCAGGTTCATTGACTAGAAATAAACTCTCATTGAACTTTCCTTAGTTTACTAAAGGTTCCTATACCATGATACTCGGGCATTCTTTTGCATTTTTACGGTGCCTAAACTTTTGGGATTCACTTAAGTCCAAGAACAAAAATGCTGAATTCTTATAATAGACTGTTTTGTGGACTGGCTGGCCACACATACACACAAGACAAAGTGTGTTCTCTCAAGATTTTCAGTCCTGTTTTGTATTTCTAAGCAAGGTAGGGATAGTTTGGATAAACATCTTGGACTCATTCCTTAGCTAGAGCAAACTGGCATTATTCCACTGAAGTCAAAAGAGCTTTGATGATATACGCCAACTGAGAATCTGGTCCCAGAATTTTTTGTGCTGATCAGTACTAAACTTTTCCAGATTTACTTATAAGTGAAAGGCTGCCTAAATTAGCTTTTCTTTTGGTAAGCCTCTATACTTTGCTGAAGTGCTATTTTGCAACTTCTCCCAGTGAAATGACAGTCCCTCCCAACCCACAGACAGATTCTACAGAACTTGCTCACTAAGGCTGTGACTACATTGCAATGAGTCAAGCATGAGCAGGCATATTTAAAAGTCCTGGGCTGCTGACAGACATGGAAAAAACAAAACAAACTTGTGCTTTACCAGAAGCATGGCCCCTCAGAGTCTGTATAGATCACGTGCTTCAGCAGGGCTTTTTGGCACTTTTATGTAAAGCTGATTCAATCAGCTATTAGATAAAAACACCATAAAAGCCCTGCTGAAGCACCCAATCAATACAAATATTGGGCAAGCTGAGTCAAACTAACACAATGCTTCTTCTTGGCATGTGCTGGGATTGGTACAGGGGCACCAGTTTTTTTTCAGAGTGGGGAAGGTCATCTGTAAGCAGCCTTGGATACCAACAGTAGTGAAGCCACAGCTGTGTGGGCTTCAAGGTGGGACATGCAAGACCACCTGAGGTCCTGGCAAAGACTAGCCTGCACTGAAATGTGTACTATCACAGCCTCTTCAGGCTAGCTAAATGTAAGGTTTTACCTGACCACACTGCAATTGAATCTCTGAATGCAGTGCTGACACTAAGACAAACCCTATTGTCTGCCCCAAGTAAACCCCAAAAATGTTGCATAACAGGAAGTCCTACTCCTTGAATGCACAGAGCTGAGGCACTCTCTTCTATGGTGCATGAAAGGGTGGGTTTAGGTGACTCCGTAGGAAGAACCTGATTTCAGCCCTGGCACAAGCCACTGATCTTTCTCTTAGACTAATTCTAACCTTCATCAGCAGCTCCCTACTCGTCAGATAATTGTCATGCTCTGAGAAGATGTCGGACAGCTCTTCAAACGTCAGCATCTTCTCCCTACATAGAAAAAGAATTACTTCCGTGAGATTAACAATCACACTAAATCCATCCTAGATCATTATTCAGTAGTTTTTCATTGATGAATGACTCATCATTCATCAAACACAGAAAATGTATAAGCAGAAGCAAGACACATCTGGATAGGTGCTGAGACTCTTCCAGAAAGCCCTTTCAACTCCCACTGCAGCCAAGGCAGTCCATCACAGTAATGTATTAATTTGTTCTTATCCAACATGTTGCTGTCTGTAAATAAAGACAACTTTTCAAAGAGATCAACCTGACACCTAGCAGTGGGAGAATAAGCACTTGCCATTAGCCCCATGGGCCTGCAGTGCCCAGCCAGGTGAAATTCTTGAATCAGTATCAACTTTGGAAACCTTTTTATCAAAAAGACATACAAGAACAATCTATCCTTCCTGCAAGAAGATAGGAAGAAAGAGAGGTTATCCTTGCTACTAATGGTGACATAGGAACATGGAAACTGGAAGGGACCCTTTGGACCAGGGATGGCCAAATATGGATCATGGGCTGGATCCGGCCCATGGAGCCCCTAAAAAAATTTTGAAAATTAAAATGCATCTGTCCTTGGTTTCTGTCAAAAATGACAGGAACCAGGGCAGTAGGACCCAGGGGAATCTTTGACGGGCTCCTGCAACAGCAGGGCCCACCCGGCCCTGCCTCAGCAGGGGCTTCTGGCCTGGGATCACGTGGCTGCCCCAGCCAGAAACTCGGGTAAGGGGGAGGGGGAGGGGGAAGGGCAGGGAAGGAGCTGGTGTGGAACATGGGGAAAAGCAGCTCCTCGCCCTCCCCATGGCCTGAGCTCCCTGCTGCAGCCACTCGCAGCCCACACAGGGTTGTCCTGAGCAGGCACAGGTACCCCACATGGGCTGTGAGCAGCTGCAGTGCGGGGCGCCAGCCATGGGGTGGGGAAAGGGCCGCTTTTCTCCCGCACTCAGCACCAGCTTGTAACCTGCCCCTGCACGAGCTCTGGGGTCACCCATGTCACAACCCAAAAGGTGTGATTTTTATTTGTGTGTGCTTCGGCACTGCTAAATTGTCCCCGCTAAATTGCAAGCTTCCTTGCACGGTGGAGTTTTCTGCTGCAAAAGAGAACCCAAGGAGAAGGGAGAATTTCCCGCCGATTTGAAGCTTTCTTTGCAGGGTGCATTTCTTTGTTGCAGCACTAATTCCAGAGCGAAAGCCACCCCTCTCCGCCCCCACGTGCCCGGGCTGCTGGCCACAGCCCGCGTGCAGCGCGAAAAAGGGCTTGGGGCACGCCCGGCCCGCGCAACCCATTGGGGCTGTGCCACAGCAGCACCAGCTGCAGCCCCCACACTTGCCATGCTGCGCGTTTGCTGGTGCTACTGCCCGCCCAGAGCTTGCGCCATGGTATGCTGTAGTGAGGCTGCCACCGCCGCCTCTGTGCTGCCCAGTGTGCGAGCTCTGGGCAGGCAACAGCAGCAAACATTGCCTGGCATGGCCAGTGGGGGGCCCATTGGGGCTGTGCCACAGCAGCACCAGCTGCAGCCCCCACACTTGCCATGCTGCGCGTTTGCTGGTGCTACTGCCCGCCCAGAGCTTGCGCCATGGTATGCTGTAGTGAGGCTGCCACCGCCGCCTCTGTGCTGCCCAGTGTGCGAGCTCTGGGCAGGCAACAGCAGCAAACATTGCCTGGCATGGCCAGTGGGGGGACTGCAGCTGTTGCTGCCATGGCACAGCCCCAGTCGGCAAGCCTGGAGCTGGCATGGGGTCCAGGATGGCAGTGGCAGAGTGTTACAAGCTGGTGCTGAGTGCAGGGGAAAAGTGGCCTCTTGCCCATCCTGTGGTCGGTGCCCCACACTGCAGCTGCTTGCAGCCCACATGGGGCTGCCTGTGCCTGCTCCGGACCGCCCTCGTGCGGGCTG